TTCCCTCATCATTTCTCATTTAAAGATATATTCTGGAACCCATGAAAAGTGAAAGGAGATCAGTTTAACTGTGCTGCCCAGACTGAAGATTTATTATTTATTACTAACTGCTGGAACAATTATCATCACTGAGAATTGCTGGCCACAAAAACTTCCATATGAAAAATATGTACAACTCTCCTTCCCTCTCTCTCTTTGCCAACAGAAAGAAGCTGATTTATGAGTCAGGGAGCACAGAGAATCCATGAAAGCAGGACCAGAGGTCACTAATATCTGATGCTCTGCCTTCAAGTTTATTCTTTAGAAAACTGATAGAGGAAGATAGAAAGAGAGAGGGAAATAAATGACTGGAAGGGAAAAGGGCAAGAAATGAACTGAAGGGGCAACTTCCCACAGACTGGATACAGTCAGCTGACAGCCCAGATAGAGAGATACAGAAGAATGTCCATATAGCGAGAGTGACTTTCCTTTAATATTATGAGAATTCTTGTGTTTATGGACTATGTAAGCACACAGCTCAAATAAGGAAAAAGAGCTTTCTACAGGCTGATGGGGTACACAGGATTATCAGCAGCTAAGGTAAATAAAATCTAGGTAGTTGTTGCTAAGAATTGCCTGCATGGTTCTTTTTTTTTCCAGAAAAAAATACAAGTTTGCCTTCCCTTTATACTAATTTAACAGACTTCCTTACACAGTGAATCTCACCTTTAAAAGTTGGCCTGACACAAGCCAGCTGGAACAGGTTGCATAGGGCAAGGGTGCACATTACCAAATACTGAATGAAGAATTAAATGAAGCAGATCGAGAAGTACCATGGTTGGAAAAATGGAGCTGCTGAACTTTGCTAGATGTGAAACTCTCTAGAAAAATCGAAGAATACGGATGGATATGTATACAGCATTTCATTCTAACTTTAAAAATGGATGACAGCAAAATGTCAATTTTTCATGATGAATTTGCATATTTTTATCAGCTCATTCTGGTTAATGCTACTGCTGTACATAACATTCCTCCCCATGAAACATCATGTTGTACATCATGTTCTTTAGCATATGGATTAATACAAGTTTTCAGCTGAGGAAGTCAGAGCTGATTTTTAAATGTAAGGTTGAACAGTGCAGTTCAGGACAATTGAATAGGGATGAAAATCTACAGACAAATTTATTCACTGTTGACCATGTTGTGCATGTTTAGATGGAGAAAAAGGCTGAGCCCAGAAAGCAAAGTGGAGACTGTGAAATGCCAGCTGTAACTACGTTTAAAACAAAAGTGTTTGCTTTCACGGAGTTAATGAGTGTCAACTCTGTTAAAAAGCAAAATGCAAAGACAGGAAAGGATACTGTTCTGTATTCACCAGCCACAGAGTCGCAGAATATTCTGAATTGGAAGGGATCCACAAGGATCATTGAGTCCAACTCCAAAATGAAGGGCCTGTACAGGGATCGGACCTGTGACCTTCCCGTCATTAGCACCATGCTCTAACCAACTGAGCTAACATTTAGGGCCATCACTGACACTTAGGACCATCAGTCTGCAGAGCTCATTCCATCTACTGAACCCTACTAATGAACTCAGCCTCTCATCATTCTCTAACATTTCACAGGTAGGAAACTGGGCACTAACCATCAGAGGAAATGCATCTGTCAGTCACAGAATACTCTACATGTGAAGTGGGTATTACACCCCCAACTTGTTGTAATTCTTCTATAATAAACTTTCTTCTAAGATTAATAGATTGTTTGAAGCTCTTGTTGCAAGCTCTGGTTTGCAAGCTAACCTGCAATTTATTTTTTTTCCTTCTCGCTGAGAGTCCTGTGGAAACTATCAATGGCTTTTATGAGCATGTGCCTTCACGTTATGCACGCACTTACAGATGCTTTGATCATTTCTAGTCTGCCATACAGCTATTAGATAAAATTAAACATGTAATTAAAATTAGCTTACTTCAATCACTTTCAAATATTTTCTTTAAATAACATTTTAAATTCTCTCAGCTAACAAGGAATTACATGGTTTTCATTCCGTAAGAACAATAAATACATAAATCACTGTTAGTTCAAGTGTATGTAAGCTTCTGCACAGCAGACCCTGTTTGGATATAGCATATGTATAGGTAAGCAGCTTGTAGAAATTAGTAACTTCAATCATCTCACAAATGGAAAAAAGCATGACACATTAGATAAGCATCCTATTCCTAGCTGGAACTTGCAAGGCACTTGAATGAACAATATTTTGCATTGGCCTATGCAAAGAATTGCACTGTAACTGAGGCTTTCAAAGTGAAATAATTAGAGGCTGTATAGTAGAATACTTAAAAATGGTGACTGTATATTCTTCCTGAAAGATAACATGCAATATGTGGGCCCCAAGAAGCAAATATAGAAATGACCAAGAGGAATAATTAGCCTTAAAAAAATATTTGTCAATAATCTTCAGTAAGGAAATGGTGGATTAAGACAAAATTACGTAAGTGCATAAATTTTTTAAGGGTTTTCATATATAAAAACTGAATCTCTTCTTGGCATCTTCAAAATTCTGAGCTAAGTCACAACTCAGTTACAAAAAGCAAGTCAAAAGCAAGTTTTCCTGAATGACATGTATGCAGGAGTTTTTACTATATAACACTCTCTTACCACTTGCTCTCTTTGGGATCACAAATACATTTTAGCATACATAACATACACTGCACACACAAGTATTTCCTTTTTATTCTTCCACTGAAATTCATCTTCTTGCAAAATATTACTTGACAAACTAAATTTCTGTTTTATTTTTGGAATCATAAGACGGTATAGGCTAGAAGGTACTCTCAGCTCAATACTGGCCTGACTTCAAAGTTTTCTTTAATTCTTCACAATCAGCTCCACATCTTCTCTAAGCCACTAATGAATGAACAGCAATCAAGAAGTAGTCATAAAAAGTTCAAATATATACTATTTTGCATTTATCACTACCAGTGAATTTGACCAACTATGGAGTTATTCATTCAACAATATGAGCTCATAGCTCTGGAGCTTATTATTGTTATGAGTAATATCTACTGGAGAATTGAAAATTACAGCTACAGTTCCTTTAAAAAGTTCATCAGGTGGATCAGCTAGGGTATGAATCAGTTATAAAAATAATATTTTTAATAGGATCCTCCCACCATGTAAGCAGAATCCTGGTTGAACACGCAGTGACTAGGAAAAATATTAGTATTAAATGACAGCATGACAACTGTTGGCCTAACACAGGAAACAGATTACTGCAAAGGAATTGCAGCTTTGTCTGTGGTGCAGAATTCTTCCTACTAGGAACTAGGCATAGCGGAGAGAAAAATCGCTATTAACAACCTTCAGAAAAATTCATGAGGAGAGGAAAGGGGAAGTAAATAAATATAAAAACACAGGATGATTCAAAGTTGGAGGCTTGACTGAACTGCAAGGTCAACTAAACCAGGAAAGGTTTCTTTGAGATACTGTCAGTCAAAGAAGAGAGATGTATTAGTGCTCTTCTCATAGGAACACATTAAAAGAATAAAACATTTCATAAGTTTCAGGGGTGACTGCTGTGAATTAAAAATAAACAAAAAAAAAAATCTCCCCAAAACACCACTAAAAGGCTATTTTTGTCTAAAAGTAAGTGTTTGCACTTAATAAACATACATCAGTAGAGATTTGTGAAATAAAAAAAGAAAAACCATGACTCTTCTGTAAAGCTGTCTTTTAGCATAGATACAAGCTTCCTTAGGGCAGATGCATTTTGACCTGAATGGGCAACTCCAAAGTCACACAGCTAAGGCTGTTTCATATGGTAGCCAAATATCTGCTATAGGTGATGATGGGATTTTTGGGATGGAGGTCAGAGGGGTCAGAAGAGGAAGTGAAATGGTAAAAGCCATCTTTGTTTACCCATTAAAACTGCATCAGTAACCCGTCAGAACAAGAAAAAAATGGATACTACAACAGCAGGAGAAAAAACAGGAAATTGCTTAAATAAAGAATGAAATTCTCAAATAACCATAACTCACAGGCTTCCAAGAGTTTCCAAAGAAGTGAATCTCAGTCATTCTTTTAAATTGTTAATTCAAGAGAAAACAGTAAGAATAATCCTGACACTACAGATTTGTTCAGCCTTCGTTTATTGCTTGATGTCTTAAATTGTGAGATTTCAGATCTAAATATTACCAACAGAAAAAGTCTTAAGCCAAGTCAAAGTCTTTTAAAACTAAATAATGTCATAGCTTTTGAACCATTTGAAGCTTTCTTTGCTAAGTGACAGTAATTAGCTTGCAGCAGAAACTCCTTCCACCCACAATCTCTGAAGATACTATGTCTTTGTATCAAGAGTGCTTTGTGTTGTGGTTGCTCCATTAAATGAATACTTAAACAACAAATAATCTCTCTCAAAAGTTCAATAGCTACTTGATGGCAAGTGTGGTCTTCAATTCAATAATTAACTCACAAGACACTTGTCAGTAAAAGACTAACCAAAGTTTCCAATTCCATGTGCATGTGTGCGCCCATGTGTATATGCATTTGTGGGCCTTTCAAAAAATCAAAGGAGATTTGGTGTTGTTTAATGACAAACATTAACACAAATAAGCATGAACTTCTAAAGCCATTTCTGGAAGTTATTCTCATACTCCAGTAGGCCATTACTCACATAAACACTTGGTATTTATTCCCTGTAAAAATCACAGCCAGTTGCTTATATTAACTATCATTTCAGCTTACTAATCTATTGGTTATAGTGTGCCTAGGTGGTTTTGAGGAAATTCAATCATTTTGGATAAACAGTTCATGTGCTACTACCCAAACCATGGAATGTTCTTCAGTACATTTGGGGGAAAATAGTGAAAATCATAATGAGAGCACATCTTTAATGTTTTAACTATAAGGTAATAAAATCAATAAAATTAAAATACATTAACAAAAATAAATAAATAAATAAAACTAATGAAATTAGGTGTGCTCAAGATGTTAGAGAAGGAGACTTATTAATCAAGTAGTACTTACAAGAAGCTTTTTCCTGACGGCTTCCAGTTTTTCTGTAGCTGCTGCTAATTCAGTGTGAGCCTGAGCCAGCGCCCAACATTTTGGTTCTGCCTCATGATACACCTTGAAAAAGACACACAACACAGGTACATTAGACAAGACATTGTCTCACTTTATTACAAAAATTATCAGTGACTTCTGATGAAAGACTTTCCGATAATCCTAGTAATCTTTCTTTACATATATTTGCTTTAGACTCCTCTGTCTAAGCAACAGTGGGACACACAGAGATTTCTTTTTTTACTGACTTAAAGACTACAGCAGATTTTATTATAGTTTATAGAAGAATATCTTAAGCAGAAATGAATGCACCCTTAGTGGGTCTACTCTCCAACTAAAATTAATTTACATGTACCACTTTCATGGTTTTAGAACACATGTGATAATCAGTCATTAAACTTGAGTAGACTTCAAATAAAATTGATAAGTTTTTTACTATTTTGTAATTAAATGATATTATGCTATAATACTAGGATGAATGGAGAAATCCTGCTGCCAGGTGCTCAAGGGAATCGCAAATGATAAGCTCTATCTTACACTCCAGACAGCCAGACTCAGATGGATGTTTCAAGTGAAACATGTACATCTGGAGAATATTTCCCAACTGTTGCATCATGATGACAATTGAAAAGCCCTAGACAGCTACATCTTTTTTCCCACTTTCTACTAAAAATAAATACATGTGTACATACTGTTAAGCACTGAATACTTCCCACTTTATCAATGGTTGTTGTTACGTGCTCCCCAGAACACTAAGTTGAGCTTACTAAAATGATAAAAAAATTCAGTAAGAGAACTTCCTCCATCAGGGTCGGTTCAAGAGAGGAACTGATATATACATACCTCACTGAATTTTACTATATTGATGACCCTGGCACAGAGACCAGCTGCTGCAAAGGATTTTGTACGAACATAATTTGGGTTGAAATCTGGATCCTTCAAGTAATGTTCCTTGATGACTTTCAGACAATTCTGAGGAATATGCTCAGATCCTTCCAGAAGTTATCCTAAGGCATGTGGAGGACAGGGAGGTGATTCGAGACAGCCCACATGGCTTCACCAAGGGCAAGTCTTGCCTGACCAAATTAGTGGCCTTCTGTGAAGGAGTGACTACATCAGTGGACAAAGGAAGAGCTGTGGATGTTGTCTATCTGGACTTCTGTAAGGCCTTGGATTCAGTTCTCCATGTTCTTCTCTCTAATATGGAGAGATGTGGGTTTGACGACTGGACTGTCCAGTGGTTAAGGAATTGGCGGGGTGGTCACACCCAGAGAGTTGTGGTCAATGGGCTCAATGTCTGGACAAGAGGTGTCCTTCAGGGGTTTGATATCTTCATCAGTGACAGACGGTGGGATTGATTGCACTCTCAGCAAATTTGCAGATGACACCAAGGTCAGTGGTGTGACTGATACGCCTGAGGAATGGGATGTTATTTAGTAATGCAGGATAGGAGACAAGGTAGAGTATCTGTACAAAAAAGCTGGGAAATATTAGGCCACTCCGTAGCCTATGCCATTGCAGTAGGTAAGCTGCAAGTGTTTCATGATCTATTCCTAACACCAAAGCTGAAAGTAAACAAAAAACACATGGCAGAAAGAGAGTGAAGATTTTTACTAAGATTTTGGGAGCCATGAACTTTTTTCCTTGCTTCTCCATTTTTCCCCTTTAAAGGGGATTTGCCTTTAGAAAATCAGAGGAAATACCCAGGAGCCAAAGGTCAGTTCAATGATGCACTGGAGCTTTCCCTAAACACTAAAACATTCACTCCAGTTTCTGGGTATAGGCAAGTATATCAAATTTGTCAAACCATCCTCCATCTTTTGCCAAATTTGCCTCTTTCTTTTAATTCCTCAGTTTCAAGTCTGAAACCATAGGCCTCAACAAGGGAGAGAATGGGAGAAAAGAAAATATCCTATATGAAAACACTGTACTTCCTTAATTTCAGGCTTGGAAAGTAAACAGACACCAGCTAAAAAAGCTTTATCAAAACACTTATTTTGACTTAACAGTGGCTTAGATCAGTGACTTTACATCAGCTATCTTCAGTTTTAAGTGAAACCTGAGTGTCTCCACAACTTTTTGAAACAATTTAATTATCTGTTTAAAAGCGGATTATGATTTCATTGGTACAAATTTGTCTCAGAGAATAACTCTGGAGGGTGTTCTGTATCATTGGCAATTACGTATTCAGAAGATTATCATACTCATTTTTAAAGATACATTGCCTGGGGCTGAAGTCAGTTATATTTGCTTGATTCTTATCCTCGTACCTCATGCTCATCTCACAGGCTCATTTCCTGTCACGTCTTGCTTAAACAAAGTCTAATTACAGAGAAAGAGGATATTACACTGATGAAGATGTTAATCTTTGGATCAAGCACTATACATTGGCAGTAACAAGCCTCTGTAAGAAGTTAATATCCTTACAAAACGTGTTTCTACAATTGTTGCAGGCATTTTCCATGTACACATTTATTAGATAGGACACACAGAGACACTGTCTGTGGAAATAACAAAGATTAAAAATCAATATGCATTACATTATAAATGACAAGTTACTAATCAAGTTAAATATTTCCTCCATCTCTTGTGATATAATTTTTAGGATGTAATTACCAATGTATCTTGGTTTGCATCTTAGCCACAACATATTTTTTTAATTAAATTGACACTACATAGTGCTTCTAATGTGCCATTTTTTTTTTAAATAAACATCTAACATGTCACACAAGTTGATTATATCTCTGTCTCTCTTTTTTCCTAATGCTTAGTTATGCTTTGCTTGCTGATGCCCAAAGAAAATATGCAACAAGATAATTGCTTTTTATGGGAAGAAAAATTAAACAGAACAGGTTGCAGATAAGCTTTAGGACAGTATTTCTCAAATCTACTACCCCTCAAGAAGGGAGGAAGGAGTTCGTCATCCCTGTTTCCAGAAGTTAAGTCCCCTTCATATCAATACTGCTACAGTATAGAGCTTTTGAATGATGGCTAAATTGTTAGAAAACAGTGTGCCCTTTGCAATCAGACCATGAGTAGAGTGACTCAAATATACCAAGCAAATAAAGAATGCACTTCAGCTGAGGGAGATAAACAAAGAAAAGCTCAATCCATCTTTCTTCCTAATCCTTGGCTAGTGTCACTATCACATATATACCTGCTTTGCACGTTTTCTTCCTTTAAAGGAGTAGGTTGTATTTTAAAAGGCAATGGCATATGCAACTTCATCTGTAAACCACTCTGGCAACATTCAGAGCACACAAATGGCTGGTAAAATGACAGTAGTGTTACTGCTGGCTATTTTAAAACCTAACCAACATCATGTTTATGGTAAGACCCTTGTTTATTGCTATACGGGTATGTGACTCTGCCATACTCTGCCATTTGTGGGGAATCCAGAGTGATCTCACTTTTCCTATGAGTCTGATCTAAACTGACTTCCATTCTTAAGTAATACTTCATTCCAAGTCAATACCTCCAAGGCATTTATTTGCTTAATGTTGTAAAAATCAAAAAGTCTTGTAAACTCCAGTTTGAAATTTACAGAACAGGAAAGCAAAAATAATTTTAAAGTGTGACACATTTTAATCAATTATGAAGAGTCTTTACAAATTACTTAGTTGGAAGATGTCTTCTCATTTGCTGGGTTTTCTTTCTTTTTGTAACAAAATATTATAGAAGATTAGTATTTAGAAACTATTGTCAGTCTTATGAAAGAGTTTTAGATTATTGTAGTGCAAAATGACACTTTAATTTCCAAGGAAAACATTTCAGAAGTGCAATAAAGCAATGGACAGTGGAGTACAGTAATTAATAGTGTCAGGTGCTGAACTTCATCCCAGAAACAAAGTGGCCCAAAGATGTGATTATCTCACAATAATCACTTTTATGTGTTTAACCTAGCTGCTTAATGAAGTAACTAGTTGTGGTAAGGGTGTATTTTGATCATCCAAATTCATCAGAAGCATATGGAACCATTACAGGAAAAGCATCACTGAAAAGCAGATGGTAGGATGTAGAACTTGCAAGTTTAACTATTTGCACTATTTGTACTTTAAACTTCATGACAATTTTTAAGTCCCATATAAGATATGGATCAGCAAAAGGATGAATTCCATAATTAGTATAATCCAGAGAAATAAAAAGGTCCTGATCCTCTCTTCATTTATGTTGGTAGAAAAAATCACTTTTCCCTCAATAAAATTAGGATCAGACACAAGGTCATTAGAAAGGTATTAAGCATCATCTAACAATAAATATTTAAGAAACAGAATAGAAGAAAATGAGAGACTATTTTGATTGCCAGACAATACTGTCTTCCCTCCTGGTCAGTATCTGGAAACTGTTTACAAAATTCTTGGCAACTTGAAGTTTCCACAGCTCAAAATCAGGCATTAAAAACTGTTACGAGTCAATCAGAACTTCTCCCTGCAGTATTGATAAATGGCACAATGTATATCAGATTTTGTAGCAAAATGCCAGAGTTGAATGAGCCCTTCAGACTTTAAAGGTAGAGGAATTTCAGTTTATATCATTCCATATGCCTGGTGCTTTATTTCAAAACCACGCTTGTAACAGTAGGTGGAAATTTTAGAGTCGAGATGAAATTTCTATTCATTCTGTGGCGAAGACTAAACCCTGTAAACCTCTGTGTTTCCGACATGGATGTTGATAACTGAACTGAGAGCAAAAAGGCTGAACTGAGAGCAAAAAGGAGATTCAACACTGATGACATATATTAATAGGAAAGCTATCATAATCTTAAGAGTTAAGGTTTGCACCTTGCAATATTGCGAGATGCTGGAATGAACTTCTGTATCAATTGAGTTGTTCAATTTACCTAGAGCCTCAAAGCCTTTAGAAATCTGAAGTGCTAAGAGATGACTCTTTGACCTTTACTGTATTACAAATAGGTCTGATTCTCAAGATCCACATCCATTAAATGCTTGAACGAGCTCAGTATTTATTGTTCTTTCATCTCATTAAAACAGCTAAAAGGTTGGGAAAAGGCATAATGTAAAGAAAGGTCAAGTGGTAATCACGGTGTGAAATGCTGTTACATG